TTTTTTTTTGGGGGGGGGGGGTCGCATGTTCTTGAACTACTGTTTGTAGCAGGAACAGCTGGAGTAGTAAGGTCTCCATTTTCCCAGCCTTTCTGTGTTTGGCGGTGGCCAAGGGCTTAAGAAAAGGAGATGGAGAGTTAGAAAGTACCCTGTAAGCCTTGTGTGTGTGTGTGTGTGTGTGTGTGTGTGTGTGTGTGTGTTTGTCACTCGTGGTGTGATTTGAACTAAGACTATTCCACTCTCATCCCTCTCCCCGGAGATCCCTCGTCCCACCAATACCACACTCGACAGTTCGTTCCTCACTGGACTGTTTACTGTGTGACTGTCTGTCCTCAATTTCAGGCATAGATATGCAAATCACACTGGAGTTATTAATCAGAGTGTCACAGGGATTATGCAAATGAATAAAGAGCGGCGAGAGACAGAGAGGAAAGAGGAGAGTCTGGATTTCAGCAAACTTGCGCTGGCATTCACCAGAGGGGAGATGGTTTTGTTTGAAAGGGTTGCGTCGTGGCTGTGATCGTCGTCCCCCTCGCTCCAACCCGACTCAGACGGTCCCGGTGAAAAGGTCGCCTTTAAATCGGGAGACGTCACTCGTGGAAGTGACCCGAGGCCTGTCAGAGTAATGATGAGCCTGTTGTTCCACAGGGGGGAAAGCCAAGATACACGTTAATTATGATTTCCCTTTTGAATAGCTCAGACAACGTTGTTGACGTGCAGCAGATGTCGATGTGACAGCTTGCACTAACATCAGAAACCTGTGTAAGCATAAATGCACAAATAAGAAAATGAAAAAAGAACAACAATATAAAATATGAAATGAAATCTTGATGTCGGCTAAATACTCACCAAAAGATTTATTTATATGAATTTAGTGACGTACCATCTGGAAAAAATACTTTCCACCTCTTGTGTGCTGCCTTGCTTACTTTTGATCACAGATAACATTTTCATAACATTTTCCAAGGCATGACATTGCTGAAAAAACAAACATTTTTATCGTATGACATAGTGGCATGTTATAAAGTATTATTAAACAGCTCTGGAAATAATATCAGTGACATATTAGGTCCTATGGCCCTATGCTTTCACAGGTTTTCAACACCTGTCCTATTAACACCTATTCATTGCCCAAATGTTGGCTGGGATGGAGTCCAATAACAAATACGCTGGTACTAATACAATGCCGTATGTCTTCCCATTATACATTAAAGCGCCTATAATCAATATTTTTATCTTAACAATGAATCACTTTTGACTTTTTGTTTGCAAGAGGGGTCACACGTGGCGTGAAGCTCCAGAGAAATATCCCCTGAATCAAGTTTTCTTCAGCTCAGATCTACGCAGCACTTTTAACATCTTTCATCGTTTTGGTTTTCCTGTCTGGTTTTGGTTCGCTCTCACTGCTTTCATTGTTGTTGTTTTTAGTGAAAAAGTTCTTAACCTGCCCAGCACCAAACAGCAGACAGACGAACTATCCAGCTAAAGAGCCAGATATTTTCTTTTATATTTATTGAGTGGAGACCCAAAAAAACATTGGCCAGAAATTCTTTAGGTGGCCAGAAAAACAGCTCCAAATGATTGTCTATGTCTTCCTGTTAACTCTAGCCATATCAACTTTATTTTTTATCCAAAATGTGTGTTTCAGCGTTCTGGAGTTCTGGAGGCCATATTTCGGATCAATGAACGAACCATTTAGAAACAGTTGAAATAATAACACTTTTACGGAATCGGTCATGATGTCACAGCGTGCTATTTGTGCTGGCAACTCGACAGAAACGTATCCACATCTGCTGGATTATGGTGTAAATAGGTAATTATTTGTTCAGAACTTTGCCATAGCAACATAAAAGGCATAATAATGTCACAGTTGGGTTTCACGGCTGGTTTAAGCTGCCCCCAAGTGGCCAAAAAATCTGTTATTGTGGATGTTTTGGACAATCCAAGAAGGTTGTACTAGAGATAAGATTTATGAAAATGCACATCAGTTCTGCTGCAACAGGGAAGAGTGTTGTCTATATTTTCAAATATTTTTATTCAGCAACAGAATATGTTAAGCATTAAACTAAGAAATTAGTATTAACTATTTTCTTAAAAACAAACAAACATATTCCTGAGTAATGAATATTTCCACAAGTGCCTCAGGATCCCTGCTGTTGAAAACCACCGTGGGTCTTAAAGCCTGTTTTCCCTGGTCCCTAATCTACCTGTGCGACTTTACAGATTGGAAACAGATCACATGAGGAAAGCTCGGCTACCTGCAGCGATTCTTTCCCGCCCCAGTGGACGATTATTGGCAGGTTTTGGGGCCCTGCCGCGAAGGGTGAACGAATGCATTTCTGCAGATGACTGTGAAGCGAGGCAAAGATTGAATTCTCACTCCCTTCTGCCTGTGCGTGCGGAGGGGGAAACGGGTGAGTCTCCTAGAAATAGGCAGTGATAGATGAGGTACATGGAGGAAGACAGCTACCCCTGCTCTCCAGCCTGGCTGAATCAGGAAACTGTCTGCCAACTAAATGCCTCTCGCCCCCCCTCCCTCCCTCCCTCCCTCCCTCTCTCACGCTCGCTCTCATTATAATTTTCTCCCTTTCCTCCTGGCCTCCTCTTTTCCTCTGCTTACGAATCAATCGCTTTGTTAGTGCTTACCAGACAACAGATCTTTAGTCATTATGAGATTGTGCTTTATATCACTGCTTAATGAGCACTACACCCACCAAGCATTCCAGGCAGCAACTAATGGTCACAAAAAAGCTACACTTTCTTTCGCTTGCGTGACACATCTGATACAGCTGAGTTAATTAAAATCTTTACAAACTGTAAATTATGCCAACTCGACGTCATTGTTTTGTTGTCAAAATAATTTGAGCAGGGAGCTGACAGAGTTTCCCTTACGATTGGACAGGTGTCACATCACCTTAAGGGGCTGTTGACCCTGAAAGAATTTCATTAATGTGTATTTGAGCGGACTTTTAGGGGGCTGGGATGTTCTGAATGCTATTGCCGAGGCTTTCTGGATAGAATATTCCTGCTCACACATTAAGAGTGGATATACAGTATGCTTAATATAATGAAAGCACTCCAACACATTTCCCTTCATAAAAAAAAAAAATCTCTGTAAGTCACCAGTTACGGTCTCTTGGGTGAGTGGCCAAAAGTTCAAGTCCCTGGAGCCAGGCCAAAAAGGCAGCTGTTGACAGGTGGCGGCCATCTTTGACCTTTGACCTTTAAAAAAGGCTCCACGTTGAAACCCACTTCTCCAAAAGTAAGTGTTTTTTGTCCTTTCAGCTGTGGCTGTACTCAGGCTTCTCATTCCGGCCTGTGGGTGCTTCCTTATTCATTGCTTGGATAAATGTACATGACCCCTTAAAATAACAGGAGCTGCCCCAGAGGGCACGCTTGAGCAATGTGACATTCCAGCTAACCCGAGATAATTTTTAAAGAACGGATAAGTGAAGGACAGTAGGAGGATGGAAGGAAAAGACGGAGGACGAGGGGGATGGCAGAATGGACAAAAATCAAATCAGTGTAAGCAGATAGGTTAAGCAGAAAAGGTTAGAGACAAAATATGAGACTAAAAAATAACATGACGTAAAAAAAAAAGAACTTTCCTGTCTGGCACTGTTGGATGGAACATTTCAGATTTTGACTTGATGGTCTATTTTTTTTATCTGGAAGAGGCCTCGCAATTGCCAGTATGCACACACCCAATAGTCTTTTCACAGCAATTGAGACATGCACACTTTGACTGCTCATCGTTCTAATAAAACATAAATGCAGTGTTTGAATTTTCATGTGGCCAAGGGAAGGTCTTCTGTCAAACACACAGGCGAGCACTCATCAAGGAGTATGTATTTCATCAGTGGAAGTTAATGCTTTACAAACAGTCTCTGTAAAATGTTAAGCAGAGCTCCTAATTAGCCTATCGTGCAGTCATAATCACTTCAGAAATAAATTAAGCTGAAGGTATTTCAGCGGGCTAATGACCTGCATTGGTCCTCACTTCTACTGAGCTGTCGTGTTCAAAGGGGAGCAATGGATAGCACTTACTTTAGCCCTAACCTCTTGCCCTGTGGCTCTGGGTAAATATGATGCTCTTATTCTGCATAATGCATCCAAAGAACTAAGCCCCATGAGCACAGTAAGGCTTTGGAGAACTGCCAGGTTCTTGTTTTGTCTTATAATTTGAGCTCTTTGGTGGAATGTCTTCAATTTTACTTGTTTAATTGATTTAAGATTGGTAAATATATTTGACTTCCTAATTTTTTTTTTTTAAATGTCCATTCCAGTGTTTTCATTAGCGTTTAGACTGTATTATATATTCATATATTAATGCATTTAGTCATTGAGCCATTGAGCAGCTTATGATAACAGCTAATAACATCATGATAACTACAAAATGATTCATCAGTGAATATTTTCTAGCTAATATTAATATTATAATTATATACAATTAATTATATTATATAATTATATACGTACATTTATTTTGCTGTTGCTGGCTGGTGTTGTTATTTTTACCCTACAGACCCCTTTTTTTCCCACACAGCAAAGCACAGGTGTAAGTAATTATGACCAGATTACATGCATGTCTGGTCCAGGGTCCTGCATGGTGCAGCATGTCTTACTGACACACAGAGGAACTCATGCTGGCCCCTTTTAGAGAGTTACTTAATATATATTACATGGGTGAATTATTGATGCATGTAAGCCAGCTGGATGAAATGGAGTTAAATCCAACCACTTTAAAAAATGGTTGTTAAACACTGTATCATACTGTATTGTATTTACTAGTAATTAGTAGGCCTGACTACAGTATAGTGGAGTAAAAGATGCTTATTAACGTTATCCGTGAATTCGTTAATTTGCTTAGAAACATGACTGCTTTTGTGGGTGTTGGTTTAAATGTACAGTTGTAGCTAACGTTACACTGTTAGCCAAAATACCATGAAATGTGCAGCTAAATAGAGAAACATTTCAGTGGCAGTGCCCGGGCCCACTTTGCTGTTAATTGCTTATTTTGTTGAGTTGAATTTGATATCTTTGAACTTGCTTTATGTAGTTACACTGTAAACTGTTCGCTGGTTAGTGAGCTAATTTATATTGGCCCATATAAATAATGCTTCACTTTGGGTTTGGCTCATTGCTTGCAGTGGCAGTCTCCTCTGAAGAAAGGTTTTAGATGGAGAGCATCGGCTAAAAGGAAGGACTTTAAAGATGGTTTCAAAACACCAGCTGGCTTACCAGGTGAAACACTTCAGTTAAATTAGCAACAAGTTCTAAGAGATTTTTATGTTTGGTGAAAATGGTTCTGTATTGTCCATTTTGTCTTACATTTTTCATCCAGGTACATGACAGCACAGAAGTGTGTTTACACATGAGTGAGAGTGTGTTATAGCGTTTGCCTTGAAGTCAGCCAACATCAGGATGTGTCAGGTACAGTGCCGTTTTGGAAGAGTGGTGGAGCGCAATATTAACGTTAACCTAATACCTATAAATTAAAAGGGACAGTTCATTTAGTGATGCAATTGCGACAGTTTTTTTCATTATCAATTATTATCATTGTTAATCAATCTAGTCTATAAATATAGTTTAATATTGCCCGATCTTTCTCTAGAGTGATTCTGACCGAAGAAAACGAACTAAAATTGCCACCATCAGTGGCTTCTGCACCAAAAATCAATGAGATACCAATTTCTTGCACAGCCTATTGATTCATTCTACACTTCCGCAGCGTTTCACGAAGGATTTGGGAAGTGAAAGCCATTTTTGCTGAAATGACGAATGTTAGCAGTCATGACGTCTCAAATATTTCAAAAGTAACATGAGAGACACATCCAAAGCGTTGGAGAGAGTGGAATGAATTTGATGGCTACTCTCACACACACACGCACACGCACACACACACACACACGCACGCGCACGCGCGCAGTGTAAAAAGCTTTAATTAGTGTTACTGGCATCAACTATACAGTATTTTGGCTTAAAAAGAAAGAGCTCTTTCGCAGCCCTTACAAGTGAAAAGATGCAGCTTTGCGTTTCTGTAAAAGGATGTGAAATAGCCCAATCATTTAATTTCAGTTGATCGTGGGATCACTCCACACTGTAATGATGTGAGCAGAAAATGCTTGTATGTTTATCAATCATATATTTGGAGCAGACATTGGGACATCCCATCCTCCATATCAAGCAAAGGATGACTCGTCCACTTCAGTTATTGATACACAGAAGTGTTTTTCAAACTCTCTGTGTTTTCTGATGCTCAATCTAGTTTTCAAACCCTTTCCATTATTTGTTTTAAACAATTTCATTCATTCATTTCAATACATTTCACTCTGGAGGGGGCTTTGTCTAGTCTGAGAAAATGACTCATGGGGCATCACTTGATTAATCTCAGTCTAGGTTTAGACTAGATTTCTAACTGAAAGCCTGTGACACAAACTTGCAGCAATTGTTGTAGTCAATGCTTACGAAACCTAGAATGTGTTTATTAGACAAAAGTGATGGTCAGCTAATCAGGTGCTATGGTTAGTTTGCTAGCAAAATAGACTTATACAAATTATTATTAAAAAAAGCACAAACATGAGCCATATCAACTCAAACTGTTTAGGTTAATATTGTTCAGATTAAGAATTTAAGGCCACAAAAGTGTGTTTTGCTTCACAATGACAGCCTCACTTACTAACTTTTCTGATGTAAATGTGCGTCTTTGTTTCAGTCTGGCCAAGGAAGACATGGACAACACATCAGAGTGTGTACACACCAGTTTGAGCTGAAAGCTGCACCCTTCTTTTCACTGAAGCAAGAGGATTTGTTCCTGGGAGCAGCCGAGAAGTCTGGGAGTTTCTACCATGACATGGTACAGTCACTTTCCGTTCTTTACGCACACACAAACACACTCCACTACGTCACAAACTGGCAACATAAAAAGAACATTTAATTTACAACAAGGATTTCTATCAGCACTTGCAGCTGACCGACACTGCCATTATGGTGCTGATGATAATCAATCTCAAATCAATTAGGCAGTAATTGCTGAGTCAATGGGGGAGGCTGGTTAAATATTGATAAGTGTCTAAAAGGCCCATCAGGCTCTATTGACAGCTCCGGGAGACAGACAGCACTGGCTCAGCCGAGAGGGGAGCGAGGAGTGATGGAGAGATGGTAGGGGCTCGGGTCATATTCTCTACTCAAGCTGGCCACTCTGGTAATCAATGCAAACTTGCTCTCTCTGGCTGTAAGCTCTGCTCATAACTTGTTATATTATTGTTGAAAGTATTAAACCATTTAGAGCCTAACTGTGATAAGAGAAGAAATCAAGCTCCAGTGCTTAAGACAGCACTTAAAAACATTCTGCATTGTTTTCATCTATGAACCCATTTTGTGGTTTGGTGGTATTTATTTATGACTTTCAAATCAAAGACGTAGATATTTCAAGCACAGTCATATGAAAACTGGACAGCAATATGAAGTGATGTGACCATTAAATGTCGCAGTTCAGCTCCACACCCTCCTCACTCTTATTGTCAGTCACTCCCTCCTCATTAGTCTAAACTCCCTTCACCTGTTCACTCACCTGCCTCTGATCAAGCTCCCCTCGGCTAAAGAGACTGCTGAGCTGGTCCTGCTGCATGTCTTCCGGCTCCATGGTCTCCCCACTGACGTGGTTTCTGACCGGGGACCTCAGTTTACATCCGTGTTCTGGAGGGACTTCTGCACACTCATCGGGGCCACAGCCAGCCTGTCATCTGGATACCACCCGCAATCTAACAGCCAGACTGAGCGCAAGAACCAGGAGATGGAGACGGCTCTACGGTGCTTGGTCTCCAAGCATCCATCGTCCTGGTCCCAGCAGCTCCTGTGGGTGGAGTACACTCCCAACACCCTGACCAGCTCTGCCACTGGAATGTCCCCGTTTCAGTGCGCCTACGGTTTTCAACCGCCACTGTTTTCGGCCCTGGAGAAAGAGGTTCTCTGCCCAAGCCTTTGTCCGCCGCTGCCGCCGTACCTGGACCGAGGCCAGAGTTGCGCTCCTCCGATCAGCCAACCGGTACTCCACAGCGGCCAACCGGCGTCGCTCCAAAGCCCCCATCTACCAGGCTGGTCAGAAGGTGTGGCTATCGACCCAGGACCTACCCTTGCGGGTAGAGTCTAAGAAGTTGGCACCCAGGTTCATTGGGCCATTCGAGATCCTGAAGGTCATCAATCCAGCAGCAGTGAGGCTCAAGCTGCCCCGGACCATGTGGGTCCACCCGTCATTCCACGTCTCCAAGTTGAAGCCGGTTCGAGAGTGCCCACTGGTTCCTGCTGTACAGCCTCCGCCACCACCTCGATTCATCGATGGAGGGCTTACCTACACGGTTCGCCACCTGCTTCATTCCCGCCGCCGTGGGAGAGGCCTGCAATACCTGGTCGACTGGGAGGGCTACGGTCCAGAAGAAAGATCCTGGGTCCCAGCTCGACACGTTTTGGATGCCCCTCTCATCAGGGAGTTTCACCGCCGCCATCCTGACCAGCCCTCCAAGGATCCTGTGCCCACTGGGGCTACCCAGCTAGACTCTGTTCCCTCTCTTCCATCTGTAGCTTCAGACGTTAGGGAGGATGAAGAGGAGCCATCTTCTGGCCCGGACAACTCACCCACCGATGATGATGATGAGGAGAGGATGGAGATGTCGGAGGAATATTAGCCCTCCTCCAGGCCCCCTCCGCCCACCCGGCTTGGTTGTGGTTGTTTTTGGGACGTCGAGAGCCGTCCCTTAAGGGGGGGTTCTGTCACAGTTCAGCTCCACACCCTCCTCACTCTTATTGTCAGTCACTCCCTCCTCATTAGTCTAAACTCCCTTCACCTGTTCACTCACCTGCCTCTGATCAGTAATCAAGCCCCTATATAGACTCCTGCCTCCCAGACACATTTGCCAGATTGTTCTTCGGTTCTATGCCAGACTCTCCAGCACACTCTCACGGACTGCTCTCCTGTTACCGATCCTGCCTGCCCCTGTTCTACCCGCCTTGCCTGACTCCCGGTAAACCCACCCCCCTTCTGATCTTGATTAACTCTGCCTGCCGTATCTGGAAACCCTGCCTGCCCCTGTTTTACCTGCCTTGCCTGACTCCCGGTAAACCCACCAGCCTTCTGATCCTGACCCTGTTTGAACTCTGCCTGCTATATTTGAAGTTAGCAATAAAAGCCAAAGATCTCTGGAATCCTGTGTTGCATTTGGGTCCATATACAACCTGTTACATTAAACCCATATACTGTACATAAGTAATGCAATAGTAATACCAAGGCTGATTCATTCCTTGCAATGAGGATGTCATTTATTGTGCAAATCCCTGTGGCCATTGGAGCAGCTGTCCTTTGTGAATATTAGTGGTTTACATGCTCGGACTGATCTACCCAGGTTTGCCATGTAACATTTGCTGCTTACATTGAGCGTGCCCTACTCCCATCATACTATTTGCTAAAATAAAAAGCAGAGAAGTGAAAGCCTACATTTTTAAGCTAAATTGTTTTTTAGGTTATTTTGATTTTAACATACATTATTAGTTACAGCTTTACTGCTGGCATACTTTGTCTGTTACTACTTGTGTCAATACGATGGTTGGGCCTGCTTGAACCAGTGCTCCAATTACAGGAGAGCCTGAGCTCCCCCAGAAACAACATGTGAGTTTCAGTCGCGTATGCGTGTAAAATGATTGATCTGGACATTTAATGTTTTTTTTTTTTTAATGTTTTTATCTGTCATGGCTCACAGGCTGCTTTCATGCTGTACACCTATGCTTAATGATTCTGTGTGGAATTGGTGTCAGGTCGACCATTTTCAACGATCAGCTACTGCAGCATAGCCAGTGGGAAAAAGTAGCCTGCTGGGGAGTCTGCCGAGGAAAATAAAGTGCTTTAAATGCAGACATTGTTTTAAATATAGGCCTATGTATTTATTTTTTTTATTAGTAGTATTCATGCACATTGCGTGCCTGATATTATAAAAAACATCAATTGATAAAATAATTTAAACTTAGTGTTTGAACTTATAGTGTTTCCCCTTTCTTGGGATACAGGCTATATGTGTAGTATACCAGTATCTGTGGTGGTAAAGTGTATTTGCATCAGGCTATATTGGTGCATTATTAGATTCCATGTGATCCAGTCTCTATCGTGCACGAAAACATTGAGGTGTTTCAGAGAAAGATTTTCAAGTGTCCCACTGAAGTCATGCAAATATTCAACAATATTCAAAGAGAGAGGGAGAGAACCGCCTTCATCAGTTGCCTCTCACCCTTCACTCGGTCATCCAGTCAGTAAGAGAAATGGATTTAGTTTTCTCTCTCGTGGCAGGTTGTATTGGAGTAAAAAAATAAACCCACTGCCATTACGTCTTGATGCAGAAAGCATCCCACGGCTACAAAATATGCAATCATCACATCAAATAAATAACTGCCATAAACCAAAAAAACAAATTTGCTCGTCTGTTTTATCGATGTCCTCCACTGTGTTTCAGTATCCGGGACAGCGCACACACACACACACCCTCTACAAACAGTGCTATCTGTCTGAGAATACCTCATAATAATAATAATGATATTAATAATGGTCTTTTTGGGCTTTTGGGGGTAATGCATACATAAAAAAAGACTGGATTCTTTAGTGTGACATGGTGACGGCTGACTCATATGAACGGGTTCATCGCGATTTGAATGCGCATCAGCAGTGCAGCAATATATTATACCTGGTATATGAAATGGCTGTCATGTCATCATCACTGTGCTGCATTTTGATCAAATCTGGTTTCATGCATAGACTGTATATAAGAAGTGGGCATAGTCATCGTGACGTCATCCATTGATTTGTGGACTGCCGTTATGAAGCCTCGAGGTCGGTGATTTCCCCGTCTCCCTCTTGGAATACGACCGTCGCCATGTTGATTTTTTCGCCACCAATGAACAGAAGTTACCATATTTGCAATGTGGAGGAGTGACGTAGAGACACCGTATACGGCTCTGGTAGCGGTCAACCTGTCAAACACAGTAAGCCCGCCCTAAAGCATACAAAGTTTAATGGCTATTTTACTGTAAAAGGGACCATCATTTACTAAATGAACATCATGTTGTATCGAAGAAGACTATTTATTTAATATTTGAAAAGTACAGCATCAGTGTTGGCATTTGAAACCCATAATAGTAGCACCAGAGTCTGTGCCATTTGCAGTTTAAGTTATATTGAGTGAGAAGCTTAAGAGAGGAGATGAGCAAGGACTTTGCCCTAATTATCATGCTGCCTAAACATGCTGTGTCGGTTAAATGGTGTTTGCAACAGGCGCAACCTCTGGCTGCTTAAAGCAGCTACTTCCTGACACTCCCAATCAGCTTGATTGATTGGATCCCAAGCCACTCCCTAACTCTGATTGGCAGGTTAATGACAAGGAGGGAGGAGAATAGCTAAAGGAGACAGGGCCTTTTATATGGTACTTAGCAAATCCAGAGTAAGTTTTTGTTCTTAAAATGTACGCGTGTAAGTGCCTCAGTCGTTGGTCTCCAATGACGGCAGCATCAGAAAAATATTCATCCATAATAATCTGTCTGGGCTCTTTTCTTCGGCTTTCCCCAAACTGTCCCATCGATCAATATTAGGTGACTGGTGGAGCCCAATTCTCCCTTTAAAATGAATCAATCTCACTGAATGCCTGCAACAACTGATGCGACCGCCCAAGTGACTCGTGGTATAACCAACTCTGACAAATATTCAAGGCTCATACCAAATCCATGATTAGACAGCTAAGTGATCCATCTTCTGAGGACAACACTGGCATGTCATGTTAGCCTCCACCTGCATTTGTTTCTCATAGGCAGCTAATACCATTA